CGAGATTGGTCAATGGTTAGTCTTCCAGTCATCCAGGTTGGGGGTTGGAATGAGGTGGCTCCTTACCTTAAAACCGACTCATTGTAGCCCACCGCCAAACCCGCTGCCTTGCGGCCAGGTTTTTGAACCAAAGCCTTTGTTTGAGAACCCTAATCGTTCTCCAGTCTAGGCCTGGGCAACCTAACAGTATCCTGCCCATGCAGTACAATGAATTTCTCTCCAAACAGTTTCCTGATACTTTGGCCACCGCGGAGGATAATCAGCGGTGCTCTATCTGCTTCATCGAGCAGGGTAAATAGGGGTTTGGATGCTACTGCACCAACCTTCCCTTCTTCTTATTCACTCTTGCGCTTTTTCACCCCTATCATCCCGTTCCAGCTTCACTTTTCTAACCCCAATTTTCGACCCATAATTCTTGGCCCTACCCCACACTGTTTTGCAAGGCTTTTACCTTCTAGTTTTCACTCACATGTGAACGCGGAGCGTCATTCCTGTCCTTCTGACAAGCCCATGTCTAACTAAGCGGTCCACTTCAGTTCGTCGGCTTCCATTTGGAGCCGTCGATCATCCTTCAAATTGGCATGCCTCAATGTACGCACATTGCTTCAGATCGGTCAACAGGCAGCACTTGCCCGAACACGAGATCTTCTCGATCGATATCTGCTGCTTATCGGAGACACGCCTGCAAGACTCGAGCTCTGTGCTCACTCTGCGATCCCCTTCAGGTGACACCAGCAGTATCTTCTCATTGCGCGTATTCGGTGCCGATGCAGCTTCGAGCACCGACGAAGTTGGTGTTGGTATTGTCCTGAATCCCTGGGCTGAAGCTGCTCTGGTTGATTAGATCCAAATCTGTAGCCGGACATGTGCTCTCCGGTTGGCTGGTTCATTTAAAGCTTGGAAGTCGCGCTGGACTAGCAGGTGTCTATTTATCATCGCTGCTTATGCATCCACTAACTCTAGCGATATTTCGGTAAAAGACGACTTCTATCGCCAACTGACCGAGCTCCTTCGCCACAGAGGATGCACGAACACTGTAGTGCTGGCTGGGGATTTGAACGTTCAAGTTGGTATAGTGTCCACTGATTAACTGCATTTGGGTGGCCAACATGGTGTCGGCTCTCGTAATGATAACGGTGAGCGGTTACTTCATTTGTGTGCAAATGCTCGCTTATTTCTTGCGAACATTAATTTCCGACACAGCACCCGCCGGAGGGTGACATGGCGCTCATTAGCCTTAGAAGCAAATCAATCACACTGCAGTCAATTACCGATGGAGAGGCTGCGTCCAGAACTGTCGCTCGATATAGAACACCTTTGTGGACACTGACCGTGCACTTGTATGTGCTGACATGCGGATGCGTTTTGGCTGGCGCCCAAGACGACATTGTGAGCGCATTGGCACCAGTCAGCTGGCGAAGCCAATTGTTTTGAATGCGTGTCGAAATACGCTATGTCGGTTGAGTAAGCGCTCACTGGTCGTATGTTCATCAGACCTTACTAGCAGCAGGCAAATCCTCATGTGGTAATTCTTATCGCCAACATAGATGTTGGGTCTCTTCGCAGTCTCCGGAACTTATCGATGCTCGCTGGCATATTCCGGTTAGAAGCGAACACAATGTGACTGACAAAGAGCTCTGGGTAAAACTCCGTCTTAACCTGAAGAAAGACTGCATCCTCGTGGTCTTTTCGTGCTTTAGAGTTGGAAGTGGCTGCTACCCTTGGTAACCATCGTAAGTTTTTCCGTCTGATACGGGAAATAGGCAGCAGGAGACCTGGTGTTAGTGAAACTATTTATGACGAGAGTGGACAGCCTATCCACAATTTGTCAAAACCATTGGAACTTTGGGCTGAGCATTTTGAAAAGCAATTCAATCGGCCGGAGTTGTTCGATTCTTCACTAATCATTGATCTCCCTGCTCTCTAGACTGTCTTTGGACCCGCCCTCTCGCTCAGAAGTCAAATGTGAGATTGGATTTTTGAAGTTGAACAAAGCGCGCGACCAGATGATCTTCATCCTGCCCTCTTCAAATTTGGGGGCTCTGCTCTTGTTGATGATTTATACGAATTACTAGTGAAACTGGGAGCAAGAAACTATCCCAACTGACTGGAGCCGCCTCATTATTCTTCCTATCTTCAAAGGAGGCGGGTGTTCGGAATACGGCAACCATAGAGGAATCAGTCTGATCTCCATCGCCTTTAAATTACTTACCTCTGTAATCCATCACAAACTGACTGGCGCTCGGGAAAGTCATATTCGGGAGGACTAAGCCGGGTTTCCTCGGGATCATGACTGCATCGACCACAACTTCCTTTTGCGTCAATTGTTGGAGAACCGTCACACATATTGGCGGCCCACCGTAGTCGTGTTCCTCGACATCAAAGGTACCTTCGGCTCGGTTGATCGATGTGCCCTTTGAAAATGTCTACTCAGAAAAAGTGTGCCCGAGAAATATGTAACTATTATCCGTGCATTATACGCGCGTAGCTCGAGCAAAGTGAGTGCTTACGGCCAGCTGTCGTCGCCCTGTAATGTCTCCATCGGTATGGTACAAGGATGCCCGCTGTCACCTTTCCTCTTCAACTTCGCTATTGACGAAGTCATGGAGATTGCATTTATTGGACACGACCTAGAAGGTGTGGACCTACTCCCAGGAGAACGACTTCTTGACTAGGAGTATACAGACCATGTTGCCCTCATCTGTGACAGCTCCCAGACGTGCCAGACTGCAATGGACAGATTAGCACTGGCTGTCAGCCGCTCCAGGCTTTGATTTGCACCATCGAAATGCAAAGCGTTCCTCCAAGCTTGCCATTGATCGCCTCCTGTGCTAACCCTTGCTGGAGGTCAGCTAGAAGTCTTTCAGAAATTCAACTACTTGAGAAGTTGTATAAGCGCGCTTGGGATGGAAGATGAGGTCACGAACCGTATAACAAAAGCTTAAGGTGCTTTTGCTGACCTTCGCCACTTATGGCGGCGGCGCGACATCATTCTCGCCCTGAAGGGTAGAGTGTGCAATGCAGCTGTACGTTCGACCTTAGTGTACAGTTGCGAATCCTGGCCCCTAAGATCAGTGGACATAAGGAGGTTAGTTACATTCGAGCGTCAGTGCCTTCGCAGCTTGACTCACATCTGGTGGGAACACCGCGTGATTAACGAGCGTGTTCGACGCCTTGTTTACGGCACAGAAAAAGGAACTGAACCGCTCAGCGCCGTTGTTTCACGTACCAGGCTCCGATGGCTGGGCCACGTGTTACGCAAGCCAGCCCACCGGCTTTCTCGACATGCGTTGTTTGCTCACCGTGGGTGTGGATTTAAGAATAGGAGGGGTGGCCAAGCGATGACTTAGTCGAGAGGAATGAGGGTCCTCACTTCTGAGCTGGCCTCAGTTGGAGCGTCTCGGCCCCCTAGTTGGGGTGCGAAAGAGGATGAGCACGTTTGGCTGGATACACTTGCTGGCACGGCTAGGAGCCGACCTCAATGGCGTTCCTGCTGTGAATTTCTTTGTCTTTTCCCTTTAGCCTCCCTTACAACCACGATCTCAGTTCGTTACACAGTATAATTTTACATAATAATTTTTGTTGCCTAGTAGTCGGCTGGTAGCTTTCCGGAACGATGCCCATCCGTTGCTGGTAGGTCAGTTGGGATGCAGCTGTTGCATTTATTTTTTCTTTTATGTGTTGCGTCAAAGTAGCTGAGGTATTTTACGCCTATAACTAACGTGTACACTGATGATGATAATGATGATACAGCAACACTACTCTGAATTGCCTTGTCTCAGTACAGAATTCAACTAGCTGACCTTCAACAGCTCTAACAGCCTAGTTGGACGTTTGTTTTTTCGTGATGTGACCAAATCTGATGAACAGCACGGCGTTTACATGTGCGATCAGATGTCAGTAATGCCTTGACTGGAAGATATACTTCACTGTCCGTGGCCTCAAATGACATCCAAGTTTCAGTGAGTGTGAGTACATCAGGATGACATTAGTCTACTGGAGCGCTAACCTCACATCTCTTGTTTCGCAGGCTACGCACATTACTGGGAACTACGTGAAAACGTCTGGTATGGGGATCCCCGGGTCCTGTACTACCAGCATGGGTTTATTGTAGGGCAGAGGTGGACCGCCGACTCACCAATCGAAAACACTTCAAATTTAGATATTTTCCGCCTACTTCTTGACGTGCTTTATGGTTTTTGATGTCTTTCTTTGGCTTTCTCCTATCCGCTCAAGCAGGTCCCGCTGTACGCTCTTACCTTTACTATTTAATTTAAGAGCGAAACGCAATAATCTTAGCGCTCTTCCGGTATAGATAGATCTAAGCACTGTTAATGGGGCCTGCCTTTTGTACTGTCACCCCACATTTTCTCAGGCCTAGTAAGTTTCATATCGGCCGGTGGCCGAGTTATCTGCACGTTTGGTTTGCAACCATAAGGTCACCGATTCGAATCCGCGTAGGGGTGGACGTCCTCGCGGTATACTCAGCCCGCGCGCGACTGGTGGTGGTCGCGCGGCAGCGAAACGCCGTTACGGCGTACAGCTGACACATTATTATTATTATTATTATTATTATTATTATTATTATTATTATTATTATGTTAGTAGTAGTAGTAGTAGTAAGCTTCATAAATGTAACCCCAGGGACCCCGAACGAGATTGGCTTAGAAAAACAAATTTTAAACCAATGAAGGCCATCAAACATGCGATCTTACTGAAGAATAACAGAAGACAGCGATACTCCTAAAGATAATGCAGCTGTCCATAGTCACATCACTGAGGCGAGGGGTGTTTACGGCACGCGTCGCTGTTACAGTGGCTGGCGCTGCGCTTTTTTTTATACTCTACTGTACAGAAACGGTGACTGCATGTGATGAGAATTTTGGCGGTGGGGTGATAGAAACTTCAGCTGCCGGTGCCAGCGACGGAGTATCAATAGAACCCACCGCTTTACCTTTGGGTTTGGACTTGGTTTATATGTCTAATCTTTTTATCTTTCGGCGCTTTTGCTTGGCGGGTATCGGAGCCTGTGGTTCTTTCCTCCTCATTGCTGATTCTAATATGCTCTCAGAATCATTATAATCTCCAGACACCGTTTCAAGTGTTGGAGAACACGTCTAAGCCGTAGTGACCATGCATGACGTCTGAATGCTCTCTTGTTGTTGCACGTTCAAGGTTTACGAGTTGGTCAGCTTTCTCCTTCAAAGAACTAAATGAAGATAGCGTGATACCCACTATATTCACTAGTGTTTCAAAATGGTCATTTGAGAGTAAACAACGACTTGTTTTATGCTTACAATAGTCAATGGAGCCATAAGGCAAACCATCGCTGTTCGCCAGAAGGATGTACTGCTGTCCATTCAACCCAGTATAGACTTCATGGAATTAACGACTGCAGATCTCGCATTTCATTCCACCAGAAGAGTCACTAACTAGTTCAGAACAACTCGCTGTAATGCCTAACGCTGTCTAAACAGCTAAAAGGTCCGAAAACGGCTTGTGATTAAGTTTTTATCGCCATTTTGAAGAAGAAAAGGAATTGGGTTTCGATGAGAAGCAAGATTAGTGCAAATCGGTATGTGGTAGCCTACAATGCAGTTATCTGGAACAGCAATCAGATAAATTCCCGAGTTACTTGGTTTTTACAATTTAGGACTCACCAAACCAGGACAAGTATCCGCGAAGAGCAAAGCTGGCTTCACCGTGGGATAACACCTCAAGGTTGTATCTCTGTTTGAGCCTCGCGAGACTTTTCAGGCGCGAAGCAGTTGATCAGATTTACACGGTTGAATACCAACCCAAATAGTAATGAATAAATGAAGCATCAATAAAATCTAAATTTGTTTGCAGCTACTTCTTCACAAACAGATGCTAAGCAATAGTTTGACACAAAACCATGAATAGTACGTCGAAAAATTCAAATTCCCAGATTACAACAGATAGGTAACTGAAAGCAAGCGGCGAAAAACAGCAGACGAGGGATTCCAAGTATGTTGGACTTCCCAGTCCTTTTGGGTCACAAGAACAAAGGACAAACTCAAATTCTCTGTTCAGTGTTATAGAAACACTTCACACAAAGCTTCCAAGAATAAAATGTTCGTGCGGTGAAACATGACAAGCATGCCATGACTTTGATAACCGAAGTGTTATTGTAGCAAACCCGTAAGGTAAGAAGTCATTGTGGCTCGCCAGGAAGTGTATTGTTTTTCACCTTCTTTTTGCCACCTCAGGCTCGGTCCTCTCTCGGCAGCTGTGACAACGGCATTTAGCTGGTTACGTCGTGTTGATCAAACGCATCTTGTGTCTATCCCCGTCTCACTATGTCTGTGATGAAACTATCCAACCGCCTACGAGTAATCTATTTTACATTTCAGTCCCCCAGGTCTATTACGACATACGTCCCCGTTGGACACGGAAACCCTCGGATTTTCCGACTGGACACATACTACACGGCTCTAGTGAAATACTAACGCTCCTGTGCAACCAGTCCACTTGCTTTGCCGTCTTGTACTTTCCATCTTTTCATTCTCACTGCTGGGTAGCCTGATAGATTGTAGACACGCTCCACGTCCGAAATGGTCTTCCGAAAAGAAACTACCAAACACCATCATCGGGACATTAAGTTAAAAGAAAAGATCAAGAAAGCTAAGGAGCACAGGAAGCAGCGTAAGTTAAAAAAAGAGAGTGGCGCTCCTGCTGGCATACCCCAAACATTGGAGTCTCTGCGTACAAAGGATGACACTATTTGCCCAAAAGATGACCCTGATGCTTTGGCAGAAGAAGAGTTCGTGAGTCGTTTTTTTTCAATAAATTTACGAAATACAGGATGAAGTCGCAGATATCATGAGAAATGACAGGACCCCCAAACTTCTGTTGACATATTCAGATCGCGTTTGCCCGCGAACAATCGGTTTTCTCAAGGAACTCGTAAAGGTAATGTTGGAGTCCAAGTTTTTGTCTTCTCCTATGCTATCATTGATTCATTTGCCTTCTTTACTTGTTTCCTTTTTGTTGGTCATTTTACGGACCACTTAGTATGGGCACAATAACCTTGGCGGTTAGCTTTTGCTTGCGGACAGTCCGTGTGACATTTACCCTTAAACCTAGCCATGCTTAGTCTTGCGTGCAGGATCAAGTGGCCTACTGGCACTCTATATGCTTGGCGGGGATGACGTGCTCTTCGTGTTACACCACCTAGAATTTGTTCAGAAATTCAAGTATCTGCGCAGCTGTATCAGCGCCTGTGAACTAGAAGATGCTATCAGTAACCTTATAGGGAAAGGTTGTGATGCTTTTGCCAATCTTCCCCATTTGTGATGCCGATGTGACATCATTCTCGCTCTGATGGTTAACTTTTGCAACAATACGAATGTGTATTTTTGGAGTTTAGGAGGAATCCCTTACACTTGTTTCCCATGATATCCACAGGATGCTTTAAATGTTAGTCAGAAATGGAGATCATAACTTTATCAGTTCAAAGCCTCAAATGGATATTGATTACTTCATGGCATCCTTACAGAGAGCTCCGAGTACGTACAGAATCAAGTTTTCTTTTCCTTGGAATGAAGGATAAAGAGCAATTGGGGAAAAGGAAATCCCGATTTTAATTCATAGGATATGGCATCTAACAGACCAAAAATTTTTCTGTGCATTTTGCCATTCTGAAAGGTATTAAAAGACACTTATAAGTTTTCAACTTAACAGCTTACCGAAACGGATACAAGTAGTGTGAATTCAACAGACAATTTTATGTGTCCACCAAGGAAATTTCACGTAGCAGAACAGCTAGGTGATCTCAACATCTTGGAAAATACTTGGGACCGGTTGAGAACTCATGATTTCTGGTCGGCTGTCCTGATTAGTAGATCAGTTCCGCTATCCAATGGGAAAGTTGGTGTGCACATCGTACGGACGCGAACGTTCCTGAAACCACTTGATGTTTCGATTGTACGCCATTGGCTCAGCTTGTTTTCGCATAGAATTAGAATTTTCCAAGAAGCGATCTTCCTCTCCCTGACACAGCTGTACATGAATGCCACGATGATCAGGAGCGGAGATTGGTTAGTTGTGTGTGAGGTGGATATGTTTGGCATTATCCAACCGACTCATTTGCTTTGGCTCAACTATGCGCTAGGCGTATGTGAGTCGGAGGAACATGGAAACCAATATTGGAAATAGTGATAAATATGTAGGAAGCAGGTTAGCTGCTCCCTGCCGTTTGACATGTCGTCATGAAGGTCACAAAGCAAGAGTATTTGCATAAAAAGGACAAATAAAACAACGTGAATGAAAACGGGATTCAGTCAACTTTTTCCTTCCAGATCACTCGATTTATCCAATCCAGTGAAAGAAAATGCCTACCTGTTTTCTTTTTGCTCATTAACTACATAGTCTGGATGTGGCCATTTGGGTGGTAATTTCCATTTTCTTGTTTTGAGCCATTCTGTTATCTAGGCTCTACCATAGGGTTTCCATAGCTTCGGGAATATCTCCAACTTCATAGTTAGGGTAAACATATATATATATATATATATATATATATATATATATATATATATATATATATATACATTCTTGTGCACATTAATTGAAACAAACTACGATTGTGTCTCTTTTTCTATGAATATCATGTTTTTATACATGAAACCTGCCTTTTTAGCATTTATTTTTTATTTTATATTGGGAATAGATATTTCATCATTGTTTGTGAATCAGACAATGTAATAACTGCGCATGTCTAGTCGTTACATCACCCAAGATTGCGTCATACTTTTTATGGTTAGTAAGGTTTTTGTTTCAACTTCTTGTTTTTTATGATTCAGTCACTGTTTGAGATGGACGTGAGTCCCAGAAGGCGCATGAAGATCGTGACCTTGCACGAACACACAGACAAGACCTACAGGGACATAGCAAGAATAGTAGGCGTCAGTCCGGCAACCGTCAGCCATGTGGTCAAAAAGAAAAAGGAAACGGGATACATTTCGCCAAAACGCAAAGGGAAATGTGGTCCTAAGGGGAAAACCACTGCCAGGGATGACGCTTACCTACTACGGGAAAGTGTTAAAGATCCTCGAAAGACTAGTGACGCATTAAAACGTGATTTGGGGAAGAAAGCAATAGAAATCAGTTCTTCAACGGTTCGCAGGCGACTCCTGGAAGTTGGTCGGAAGGCCAGACGGCGTGTGAAAAAACAACTTCTGACAAAAGTAATGAAAGTTAAGCGTTACAAATGGGGACTAAAATACAAAAACTGGACAAAAGAAGATTGGAGAAAAGTCCTAATTAGCGATGGAAGCCATTTCTATGTTCATGGTCAGAGAAGTCAGTATGTTCGGAGGTCAGAGGGAGAAAAGGTTCGTGATTCCCACATTGTCCACTTTGTGAAACACCCACAAAAGCAGATGTTTTGGGGGTGCTTTAGTTATTACGGCGTCGGCGCCTTGCATCCAGTCCAGGGCATGATGCGTTCTCCACAATATATAGAAGTTCTCCAAAGAAGAGCTGTTTCAGAACTAAAAAAGACATTTCCTGACGGCTCTGGCGTATTTCAACATATTGGGTCCCTGTACCAAACTTGAATTAAAGCTTGAATAAGTTTCTCCTTTGTCGTACAGTCCATGCCACGAAGGCGTTGCTTGCAAATAGACCACATATTTTCAATGGGGTTTAAATCTGGTGAATTCCCAGGCCAGTCCAAGATGGTTATTTGATTAGTATTGACAAAAGTCTTGACCATTTTTGATGTGTGACACGGGGCCAGATCCCGTTGAAGAACTGGTTTCTATTGCTTTCTTCCCCAAATCACGTTTTAATGCGTCACTAGTCTTTCGAGGATCTTTAACACTTTCCCGTATTAGGTAAGCATCATTCCTGGCAGTGGTTTTCCTCTTAGGACCACATTTCCCTTTGCGTTTTGGCGAAATGCATCCCGTTTCCTTTTTCTTTTTGACCACACGGCTGACGGTTGCCGGACTGACGCCTACTATTCTTGCTATGTCCCTGTAGGTCTTGTCTGTGTGTTCGTGCAAGGTCACGATCTTCATGCGCCTTCTGGGACTCACGTCCATCTCAAACAGTGACTGAATCATAAAAAACAAGAAGTTGAAACAAAAACCTTACTAACCATAAACAGTATGACGCAATCTTGGGTGATGTAACGACTAGACATGCGCAGTTATTACATCGTCTGATTCACAAACAATGATGAAATATCTATTCCCAATATAAAATAAAAAATAAATGCTAAAAAGGCAGGTTTCATGTATAAAAACATGATATTCATAGAAAAAGAGACACAATCGTAGTTTGTTTCAATTAATGTGCACAAGGATGTATATATATATACTTCTAAATTTTCTTAAAAAGGCTGGTAGGCCATTAGATCCAGGATGAGACGAAGGTCGTACTCGAGTTACACTGTGTTCAGTTTGGCAGTATCGGCAGCAACACTAAGCTTTAGTGTGCTGCTTACAGTAGCAAACGTAGTGCAGCCGTCCGTTTAACCCTACTGCACAATTGTGGGATCTGACCCCTCAGATCTACAGCTATTGCGTTCGACTACTGCGCCTTCGCAGGCTAAATCACACCTAGTAAGAACACCGTGTCAGCAGTGAGCGTGTTCGACGTCTCCTTCATGCTGCAGGAAGGGTTGATGAACCGCTCAGCACCAGACTCCGATAGTTGCGTAATGTGTTACGCATTTCATCACACCGACTACCGCTAGGTGCATTGTTTTCGCGTCACCTGGCTTTGGAAAGAAGAAATTGGGGCGGCCAACCGATGACTTGGTCAACAGGAATAAAGGCAGACTCCGAAGTTGGCTTCGATTGAAGCCTCTCGAATTCCTGATTGGGGTCCGAAAACGTTTGGTTAGATACATTTGTCGTTGTGGCCAAAACCGACCTCAGTGGGTCTTGTGTTGTGAGTTCCTTTATCCTTCCTCATCCTTCACGATCCCATCGTCAACGCATGATATAACATCAAGCATAACACTACCTTCTCCGTTTCACTTCTGTTTTCATTCCCATGCTTTTTAATAACAGCCGATTGCATTGTATTGCGGCACAATAGCTAGGGTCTTTCCCATCCGTAGCTAATGGGTAGAGTGAGTGATGCTTGCATATCACACCACGTCGACACAGGAATTTTGCCTTCACTTAGTTCTAAGCCTAGTCGACACATGGAGTGATGGCTGCCCGTGAAGGGTTTCACAAATTATAAATGATCCGCAGGTCTTATCAAATCATGACGACAAAACTCTCGTAGACTCCGTTTAGTACCATTTTGATTACGGCTTGCAGACTGGTCCTCCATACCGAATACGAATTTGAGCGATTCATACGCACCAGGACTAAAATGGTCCGTTGAGTTTAAGGGACTTTCGTATCCCAATAGGCTACTTAGCGGATGATGTTTTTTTCTCATTACAGACGACGTTGTGACGATTTGTTCCTTACTAATCGCGTATTGTCAGGTCCGGTTCGTCCTGATTTGATTGGACTCTTCCATTTTATCGAGTACCAACGCTTCGTGATTATTCACTGAAGTGCATGAGCCGTGGCTTCTTCGCGTTGGTGCCGAATTTCGCCCATCACGTGTGCTGGAGGCTTCTGGGAAATAGTACCCCGCGAGTGACACCGATGGTGAAGAACTTAGAACATCGACTTGACACCGTCGTTTTTTCCACTTAATACCCATCATCATACACGTTAGCTAGAGGTGGGGAACACCTCAACTACCTAGAAAAAAGGAGAAAAAATCAACTGGTGCAAGCCGGCTAAGCTACCGTTAACGGATGGGCATCGTTCCGGTAAGCTATCAGCCGGCTACTGTGCATCAAAAAATGCTTTGCAAAATTATATAAGTCTAAATAATGTGATCGTGGTTGGAGGGAGAGGCTAAGAGGGATGGGGTGGGACAAAGAAACTCACAAC